GGCTTGCAATATAAATAATGTATCCCATACAAATGGAAATTGGTGGAAATTCTTTCAGGTGTCATTTTCTGCTGCTCTTTTGTGAAGTTTGAATTTAATATGGACCTTGCTCAAATCAGTGGTACATTCAAATTATCATTTGTGCATCATAGCACATTTTTGTTACAGATTACTACCACAATATACAATCTTAGCCATGCTAGCAACATAACTCATTTGTATGGAAGTGTTTGTTGAGCTACTTTCACAACACTGTAAGCCTTGGCGCTCAATTCTGATTTATTGTTCAGATGTGAGTTTTTTGTTTTGTTGTTCACATTATTCTTTAAATTGAACCAATATCAGATTCCAGTGTGAACAGGTCATGGTCTTAAACTGACCCACATGCGCAAAAGAACAACAACAAAGGCGTCATATGGAAGTAAACATGGAGGCCAGTGAAGTCTGCGTTTTTCCTTTCATTCATAATTTGATGTGCTGTGGAAGCCAGTGAATTTGTGAGTAGATGATAACGAGGACAAGGAGAATGAGAGCCAATTGTTAATTATGGCTTTTTGTGGAGCGATGGCTGCTGCTTCTGAATGGTTTGGAGTTTGAGCAAACAGACTGGTTACGATGCAAACTTTTTGTTAAAGTTTTGCTTGTACAGCAGTGTCATGACCATGTGTTTTGGGCTGTTCACATTGTCATAAAATGAAACTGTTTTGATATGGGCAAAGAAAATAAACTAAAAATCATCTGGGTCACTTTTGCCTGCAGTGTGAATGTAGCCTTGGTCAGTCGACCACTTTGTTCCAGACTGAAATATCTAGGTCTATTGGATGGATTGCCAGCAAGACTGATGACATTCCCATCTCAGCTGCACTGTGTTTACTCTTATTTAACAATTGTTAGCATGCTAACAAGCTAAAGTAATATGGTTAACATTATACCTGCTGGCACATCAGCGCATTAGCACTGCTAATGCAATCATTTTAGCATGCAGGTGTTAGCATTTAATTTAAAGCACAACTGTACTTTAGGACAGCCTCATAGTGCCACTACCATGTTTAACCTCTGTACATCAAAGTATATTTAATTGTCGAGTGACTTTGATCATTTCCACCAATTTCCGTTAACATTTTGTGCAATCAGATTATAATCAGCTTGTTACATGTTATAATCCTCACATCTGCTTTTCAATCCAGGCAGAATATGTCCCAAATTGGATAGCACTCAAACGCCTCCACGGAACCCACTATGAAGGGGATTCTCACGGTCAGCTTCTCCTTAAGCTCATCAAATTTTTACCAACCTCTCATCACATTTCATCCCTTTACTGGCTGCTTTGTGTAACCTTGGGGGAACCACTGTCTGCACCACAAACCTGTGGCACCTGCAGGAATCATGAAAAGCTGACAAAGCGAGTAACAAATAAGGGTCTGCTACAGAAATGAACTCTGTATGAACTTTGTGTAGCTGCACAATTTTATTGATTGTATAACTGGTTGTGTAACAATCTGCACATGACATGATATGTACAAAAATGTAACATTTAAACAAATGGAAATATGCAATGTAAGTTGGATCATCAAAACAACACTTTTATTAAGAGAATGCATTATTTATAAAAGATTTCCTGTGCATAACACCACCAAATACTAGTGCATTCTTAAAACAGTCATAATAAACATAATTAAATATACCCATTGTTGGTTAATAACATACAGACCCAACCTTAAATTCCCCAAACAGATGTTATCAGAAAGTTGTCTTAAGGGCCCCCATGGGAGAAATATCCTAAATATTTTTGGAATAATAAGTAAATAATAAAGTAGAAATACCTCATGTTATGAATGCTAAGATTCAATAATACATCTAAACTCTTTCTAAATGAATGTGTGGATCATAAGTTCCTCAGTTATTGAATTCATTTTTCTCCTGTTTGGACAGCTGGCCAAAGTTTTAAATGACTTGCCTGCATGAGACAAGTGTATTACCAGTGTGGGTTCTTCTGTTTTATCGGGCATTTGTTCTGAGTATAGTCTTAGATGTATTTCCTTTTAGATCCCTGAGGAAAGAAACACAAACATTTCAGACGTAGACAAACACAACACTGTACAGTATGTCCTCTGGATCAGTGTGGCTTCAACACAATCCACCTACAGCACACAAAACATCCCTGTTTAAACTGACAGCAACTGTTTATGTACAGTCAATGGAGTATTTCCATGGAATATGAATTACTACCTCAAAACAAAACAGCTCAGTCATGCCAACATGACTAATGTGTACAGGCTGATGATGTGGCCCAGGTCACAAGAAAGATTTAATGTTACATCATTGCAATAAATGAGCAAAGATTGAATTACAGCCGGGGCCGTGTACAGTAGAAGAATTGTCTTCGAGGAAATAAACAAGAGACACATGCAAAATGCTGTCAAGGACTATATGAAACATTTTCGTTCTTGTACTTGTAAAGTCACATGCAATAATTTCCTTTTGCTTTTGCCTCATGATGTAGCCTCGTCTGGTTTTCAGCTTCTATTTTGCATATTCCATTTATAACTACATGTATCATCCTATTTATTTCCACATTTCATGCTTCTCCTACAGACTCCAGATTAAATCAGGGTTGCACATTTTTAAAATGAGTTGGAATATGTTGGAAGCTGTGGTTCTCTGCAATATAAAAGGCAAGACATAATGTTATTTGGTGAGACAAGTGCATGATTTAAGTTCTGATCTAAAATAAATCTAAACTGCTCTAGAGTGACACAGTAATACATGACAGGAGGTAGGGCAGAAGATCTGTTCTAACTGAATCTATTAACGGTACATCATGACCATCCAGCAGCGAATTCAGACAGACATGTGCATGAACTTAAGGAGCCAGGCAGTTTCTAGGGCACAAACAGTCCATTTGTTGAAATCCTATTCGTATCCCATTCTCTATACATTTAGGACGTGCTGTACATATGCCAACCTCATCTGCTCACAGTTTTATTCAGCACAAGTGTGACCACTGACTGTGTTATGCAAAACGGCTTAGTCAACTGACACAAATTCTGGTAAGCTGAGCCAGTGCCATGTGAAAACTGAGTAGGCATTCACACAGCGAGACAGTGAGCACAGTTCATTTTGTGCTGCAGTATTAATCAACAGGGAGATCAAAGCTGTCATTCTGCTACTACAGGGTTAGTTAATCTGCACTGCTTGGCTGTCACTCAAGAGGAGACCTGGGTAAGAGCTGGCATCCTTCCTTTCCATGCCACCTGGTATGATGCATGTAATTCTGATTGTAGCGATAGACGCAGATTTATTCAGGAAAAACAAATGGAAATGTTTCAAATCAACCCCTAGCTGTAACATCGTGATCGTTGTACTATGACCCAACACCAGTGATGTTAATCCCTCCCTCTCCACCCCACCATGTGCCCAGCCGCAGTGAGGACACCATCATGTCACTGAGAGACAGACAGTGCTGATGTAAGCAGCAGCACAGATACGAAACTACAATCACAGCAAGACAGAAAAAAAGATTTGATCTGACAAGTAATCATAGATGTGAAAAGCCTTCAAAGGATCAGCATAGAAATACATTCATCATCATTAATGTACTACAAAAATGTGATAATTATGGGGGGAAAAAAATTCTAACAAAATTTTCATATGCTAGAGGAGCATTTTAATGTGTTCTGTAATCTTTAATAGTGACTTGTTGAAGAAAAACCTTTTAAAAGTGACACTGCCCCCTAGTGATGAGTAGAAGGGGAATTTGATTGTACCTAAAACAACCAAAAATACAAAATACAAATACTATCTACATAGACAACACAAAAAAAAAAAAAAACCTGGTTAGGTTTTTACAGGAAATAGCAGAGAGATATCATGACCGCTCTCAAACACAGAAAAGATTCTGTGGGGCATCTTTAAAAACACTGGCATTACCACTGAAGCGAGAGCTGAAACATGCCGGCCATTAAGCCTCAGGAAAGAGGATATGAAGGCAGCCAAATAGGGTCTGGCTGAAATAATAAACAGCATATCTAGTGGTGGCTGAGAGATGGAGATTCAGTGTAACCAGGGAGGATTTTTCTACATGTAGGTTGTTGTTGAAGATGAACTCCCTCACATCCCACCTTAATGATCAGTCTCTTGGGACAAGCCAGATCAGCACAGTGGGATAGATCAGGGGAGAGATATACAAGCTTGTAGACAGAGTTCAATAACCTCATTTAAAACATTTTATAAACAATAACTTGCCAGTGTTGTTAAAGTTTGTATAATAATAAACCTGTACTATATGTGCAAAGAAACTTAAATTAGCATCTCTATACAAAAGACTGGTCTGTACAGCAATTAGACTGTAAGGATTGTGGATGTAATGGATAAAATAAGAGCTCAGAGAAGAAGTAGTTTCAGGCTTGAGGACCATATCACTATGTTTACATACTGTAACAGCCAAGATACACTTAACTTCTTTTTCAAAGCACAGCTATACATGGATTTATGGAACATACTTCACAACAAAACCATAGCTGAGGCTGAAACTGTAAAGTCTAAAGGGATACTAAAACATTATTTAAAAACATGAAATCACCTCTCCACTTTAGGCCAATATTTTCAAGTCACAATAGAAACCTCAACCTGCATATCTGAACCATGAAATCAACATGCAATTCACTATGCTTTTATAATACAAACCTGACAAGAATCACCACTGCCAGATAACTTGGAAGAATGACAGCTTGCGCCGAAGGTTTCAGACCATCTCGACCTTTAGATATTGATCTTGGGGTTAATTAACACAAATCCCACTTTTTCATGGTATACAGCCCAGTAATTGGGACAAAGCCCCAGTGTATTGTTCACAGACAGTATATCAACCAATGTAAGCTACTGCCTGGAGTCTATGTATAACGGTATAAAACATTGCACATTGTGAATGTTTTCCATTTTCTATTATGCTATTCTTCTTATAAAGAGATGTTTAAAGGGAGGAAACATTTGCAAACAAGTACTGTTGAGCACAGAGGTTTGGTTTAATTGCCACATTGATTTTCACAGAGACAAAACCTCAGCAGGTCGACACAATTTTATGTACAAACACTATACAGCATTTACATTTTCAATCAACAGAAAACATTTGGAGAGACAAAATAAATAGCTATATAAAACAAATCTATCGTTATATACAAAAAGAAGATAAAAACTACAGTTTACGTCTGTACAGGGGAATCCTTTTCACAGCAGGATTATTTGGGCACAGAATTAATATTTTCCAGTTCAGTATGATTACTTGTCTCTCTCCGGTTCACTCTAACTCAGTAAAGCGTGAGAACATGGCCTTACGAACGGCATCCTTGTAGGTGTCAGATGCTGATAGTTCATATGAGCTTCCTTTAATACCCAAGCCTGTGCCCTTGGTCCTTAATGAAGCCTGTAGGGAGGAAGCGGAGTCATTAGAGGAGACAGATTGGACACAGGTAGCCCTCAGGTAACAATACTAATTGCTTTGTGAGTGAAAAAGAACACATTGGCATGCATATTCCATCTGTTAGGAGCTGGTGGGGAGACGAGTGTTATTTTGAAAGAAATGTAAAAGAATTGTTGTTGGCTGCCTCACCGAGATGGGAGCGGTGATGCCCTGTTGGTGGCGCCCCAGACCTTTGCCTTCCTGCCAGCCCATCGCTTGCAACATTTTGTTCCCGATATTATCGCTCGTCAGGCCGTCTTTGGTGGGCTGTTCGTAGTTTCTGTTGAAGGTGAATGTCAAGAGATGTGAAAAAAAAATTTAAAGACATTAACACACTTATCAGGATCACAAGGGTCCACTAATGAAATGTCCCATATTAAACTATTACACTCACACTGTTGGGGTTGGTGGCTGATAGAATTTCTTCTTCGGTGCAGGAGGCTCAGGGAGACCATACTTCTCCCTTCTCTCTGCAGCTCTGTCTCTGTATTTCAGCTGGTAAAATAACCATAAAACTTAATTCAATGTGTCCCTCATTGCAAAAATTACTGATGGGTATTAATTTGTGAGCCAAATACCTCGGTTTCTTTCCTTTCCAGCTCCTCCAGCTCAGCTTCTGTGAGTTTTGATCTTCTCTGAATTTCCAAGTTTTGCTAAAAAAAAAATAAAAATAAGTGAAATTCTCTTTTAATTGGAAAAACCGTGCACAAACAAAATAAATATCATGTTCACATATATATTCAAGATGTATAAGATCAGTAACATTCGTTTCATTTTATATTGAAGCTTTATACATTGAACAGATGGCAGCACCCAGAATATTCATAGCTACTTGCAGATTAAACGCCTGCTGTTTCACCATCCTCACCTTGTGGAGGTCAGAGAGCTGCTGGTGACGCAGCAGAGCCTCTTTGGTGGGGAACTGCCGTCGACACAGCAGACAAACCATCTTCTTCCAGTCTGTTATTTTGCCCTCTTCATACACTGCTCTATCTGAGCTGCCCTCCTCTGCTCCACCGTCCATGTTATGAGCAGCAACCAGACCACACTGGAATATAAAAACGGACAGAGATGAAGTGTTGGGATTTCTTATCAGTAGTGGAGTGTGAGCACATGAAGGCAAGGCACAAACAAACCTTAGTTGAAGTGTCCTGCTCTGTGATCTTGAATTGTTCGGTCATGAGGGATGGCATGTCAAAGCCTCCCGTTTGCTAAAAGGAAGCACCAAATCTCATCAACAAGCAGTACATACAAGATTTGTTATCATATGACTGTCCACAACACAAAGGCAAGTCTCTCATTTTATGTTCATTATGATAAAAAGCTACTTTCTAGTATTGTAGAAGCTGGCATTAAGTAAAAAAACAAACAAGTAAGGGGTTTAGCTTTCATTCAAAATCTTCAATATTCAAAGTCTTTTTAAAGTATATCATATTAGATGTCAATTAATGAGTAGGATGAATGTGACTTCCCAGCTTGCCCCCCCTCAGTCTATATTCATACTGTTTCAAGTATGCTATGATGCTAATCCAATGCAAAACATACTTGGTCTAGTTGGGACCAATAAATACCTTTTTCTCAAAAAGAAAGAAACCTGCGTCAGCAGCTGCAGACTCTTTCCTGTCCTCCTCCTTGGATGGTCCTAAGCTTTGGAAACTGCTCTTAAAACTTTCTTTCTGCTTATTGAAGCTTTTTGCCCAACGCGCCATGTCCTTTGCAATCTGCAATTGTCAACAGTCAGTACAGAAATCACTTAAATGATAACATATGAGTCATACAGAATTTATTTTGAAGTAGCATTTACCTGCTGTGCAGACTTGCTCTTCAGCTTCTTCTTCTCTTTGGACGCTTGCTCTGATTCAGCCGGTGCAGGAATGTACGCCTGCTTCCCACTGTCCCAGTAGAGGTACTGCTGGGTCTCGGAGTTATAGTAGTACTATTAATGGACACGCATAAGAAAAGCTGTAGAAATTGCTGTCAGTTTTGGATAAAATAAATGACATACAGTGCGTAGTATTTGGCAGTATATTATGTAAATACAGTAATACTACAGGATACATACTTGGCTGCTATGATCGTAGTACAGACCAGTCTGTGGATCGTAATAGTAACCAGAAGCCTCATCATACTGGTATGTGGAGGTGTCGGGGGCGACTACAGACACAAAGAGAGGCACATATGCAACAGAAATGTGCATCATAAATCATCAAACTGAATCTAAGGATGATCTATTCATTTACATACACAGGGGCCATTCTGTAGCTACTGTAACTAAACTCACCTGTTGTGTTTACAGTTGGAGGAGAAGAGACAGTAGTTGCAACAGTGGAAACTGCTGGTGTTACCAGCGATGCAGTGCAGACACTAGCAGTTGGCTGTGCTGCAATAACAGGCCTCAGTAATTGATGTGACTGAAAATGAGGGAGAAAAAAACATTAAAATAAGGTTTTGGATTCATGAAACAACACCAGAATGGTAAATTATGAATTAGTAGCTGTGTTTGCAGTACATAGATGTCTACCTGTACAGCAGGCTGGCTGACAATGACAGGCTGGTAAAGCTGAGGTGCCTGAGATATGACAACACCTGTGGCTGCAGGGATCAATGTCTTCATTTCTGGAGCAGCTAAAGACAGTTGGTAATGATAAAATGTCAGCTTTAGTATGAAAATCAGTCAAAATATCTCTGAGTGACTGATTGTATTACCTCCGAGTAATCCATCTCCAATGACAGGAGCCAATCCTTCAGGCTGCTGCGGCCATATTTGATAATTCTGTCCCTGCATCAGTGAAGAAAAACAAGTCAGTCATTTGGTCCTTATTGTTAAAGTCAATGTCACAATAAAACAGACGGTGAACTTACCTGTGTTTGCCGTGCGTAGCCCTCTGCAAGAGTAATGTAGTCAAGGGTGGTACCTGAACCTTGCTGTAACTACAGTAACATACAGGGATAAGAGAAAAGTCAGTCACAACACAAAAGAACCTCAATTAAAAAATTGTGAGTTTTTTCCTCAGTAAGATCAACATGATTAATCTTACATTACAGCAAGTTATTAGATTTAGCTTTCGTCTCATTATTATTAAAGATGCTGTTTCTGCCAGGATGTCTGATTAATATCAGCTACACACAACCACCTTCAGCCTTTATCAATCACATTAAGTGATAATAAGAAATACAAAATGGCACAAGTAATAACCTGATACCTGGCTGGATGACCACTGAGCAGCAGCAATGGCTGTGCTGGCAACAGAGAGAGCACTAGCTCTGATCCCATCTGGCTGCGCTGAGTCTCTGGACAGGACACAGAGCAATTAGTTAAACCTTCATTTTGCAGAACAAGCAGGATGAAAATTAGCCCTCCATTTGCTTTAACTACACTTGTATTTGGATACTGAACCCATGCAGGATCTTCCAGCAAAATGTTATTATGAATGTCAATTTCTGAATAAGTGAACCAGTTTTATTCTTTGTCAGTGCAATACAAAACAAATAGAAATACATGTACTACGTGGGGATAAAACTTCCCACGTGGCGCCAATATTCTATTCATAGAATCAAATCAGTATGTGTGTGTATGACTCACTTCCTAGCACTCTTGGCATAGTCCACACCGATTGTTTTTCCATCCAGTTTTAGAGGTGGCTGAAGGCTCTGGAGAACAGAGAGCAGCTGAGAAGCCTCCTATAAAAGAAGACGCAAGACTGTCACAAGTGACACACCCCCAATAGGAAACATACGGACTTACATCATGACTACAGCAATAACATACCAAAGGAGATGAGAGCTGAACAAAGGCAAAGCCTCTATTCTGTCCTGTTTGCTTGTCTTTGATGAGGCGGATGTTGCCTGCAGACAGGTTGGCATAAGAGGCCAATATGTTCAAAATTCCATCAACAGTTGAAAGAGGGGCAATGTTTCTCAAAATGATGGCTGTAAACAAAAACAAGCATTAATGAATAAATGTAGAATATGTTTACTGAAGGAACTATTACTTGAATATATGGTGAACAACACACTCACTGTCTCCATTGTAATCTCCTTGCTGTTGAGACTCAGGATTTAAAGCACTTATACCCGGGGACTCTGTATCTATAGTCAGCAATGACAGTAGAGTAGAGTGACACATAGGTTACCATCAGTCAGTGGAACCCACTGAAATAGTGAAGGGAGAAGATACGTGCAGAACAAAAATTAAACTTCTGGTTTGTTGAAGTAACAACTCACCAACTTTAGTTGCTCCACACCTGAAACACTTCAGCTTCTTCCGGAAATTGTACACACCACACTGTGATAAACCAATGACATCGTTTTAGGAAAAAAAAAAAGAAAGATGGATTCTGGGATTACAGTGTAGTACATAAAGCATACATGTATTTCATACTGACTTATTTACCATTTGGTACATAACATTGTCATAATAGCACGACTATTAATGCCCATGTCCAACAGGCCTGCTGGTGAAACCTGTACAAACTTATACACATGCTCACATATTCTATCTTAATGGTATTTTATTTTAATTTTTTGTACTTTTTCAATTTTAACTGTATTTTTACTCAATGTATGACCCAGATATCTCTTTTTGTATTCTGTAGCTGTAGAAATGGCAAATTTAAAGTTACTTGAACTACTTAGAAATTAGACTCACTGCACTGCAAAGCCAGTTTTCAACGTTCTGTCTCCTGTTGCTGTAGTGCAGCGCAATGCTCTTGCCCTGAATCACCAGGTTGTTCTGCGAAGTCAAAATGCACAAATTATTTCAAATTCTGACATATTTGAGTCAAAGAGGCAGGTGAGGTCCTGCCACTACCCCACCCCATGAGTGAGAGCAGCTGGAACGGGAAAGAGTGGCTAGATTTACACTCGCTGCTTCGGTAGAGTGTCTCATGGAGTAAAAGGGAACAGAGGCAGAAAGACAAGTTCAGAGAGAAAGCTGCTGTTCTTGTATGAGGGAATGAGCTCTTAGTGTTTGGGAACGGAGTGCTGCCAGCTCATCCCTCTCTCAATCCAGTCTTCAGATTTTAAATGGAGATGAGAAAATATCCAAGTGACTGAGCTGGAGCAGAATGTGCTATGGGCCACTCTGTGAACAGGAAGTATACTCTTCATAAGAAGTGGCGGAAGGCTTATTCAGCATATTTATATTCTGCATTTTATCTTGGTTAATATTAGTAACAGAACAGACAAAAGATTTTATACAGTGAATCAACACTGAATTCACAGCATAATAAGCTGTTGATAGACTTTTATTCTGGCTAAAAAAGCTTCTATATACTAGAATTAATCAGCCAAGTGTGTCATATCAAAAACCAGAGTTATATTACAGTTCTCCAACTAAATAGCAACACTTTCTAGCTCTGTATACTGCAAATACTGCACAACTCTCAAAGGTCAGTCACTCATGCGTCGGTTTATCGGGGCTCTAATCTCCAAGAATAATTCTAAACTTGGTGATTGTTAAAGCAACCTGATTGGTCTCCATCCATCGGGTAGAATCTTGCAAGCGATAAAACTCCACGAAGGCGAAACCTCGGCTTATACCTAGAGACAGTATTCAAATATAGACGGGAGGCGTGTTAGTTAGAATGCTTTGGTGCAACATTCAAACTCACAAAAGGGTCCAATTCCAAATAAAACTGGAGGTGGGAAGGGTGCTTACAAGGTCAAGGGCATGGGGGCACATTTTGTTTACCATAGCATGTAATGTCTGTAACAGAAAAAGGTAGAGGTATAGTACATATAGTTACCTCCTTACCTGGCCTTATTGTCAAAACAACACAATCTATGTACAAAGGATCCTCTGACAGTTGTAATATGAGGCTTTTTCTCAAGGATGTCAAAAAGGAAGGAAAGGGGGTCATAAGACGGAGCATGGAGGTGAACATGAGAAACTCCTCTGAACAGCAACACTCACCTCTCCTTTTCCTCATCAAGCGAATTTCCACAGGATGGGGGCCCTCGAGCTGCTCGAGCGCTGAGCGGATCTGGAAAATGAAGGCAAAGAGTCAAATTAATTTGCATACAAACCTTTTCAAAACAAGAGTCCGTTTCAATAAGATCAAACTTTTTCTTCATTTTTAGAAATGGCGCCTGCCCCTTGCAGGGTGAATAAGGTTACAGTAACACTCAGTAAACAAACAGTAAATTTGACTTCCTCAAATATACAATTTGCCTGAACAGACCCTCAGAACTTTTGGTAAAGCTGAACGCAACCAAAACCTCTCTCAATCAGCTGCTTGATGGCAGATAAACAGTCATGCCAGACCATGTGTTTCTGCAGTTTAGGTCAACAAATGAAACAGATCAGTGCAGAAGCTGCCTCTGACCTCCTAAAATCACAGACGCTCTCAGGTATGACTGATTCCAGGTAACAATACACCTTTAATAAACCTTTGCCTTAAGAGCTGACTCTCCTTACACGTGATTCGCTGTTCTTGTGAAATATAGAAATATATGAAAAGGCTACCTTGCTGTATCGCAAAGCTCGGTGTGGTTTTACCCTTTAACAGCATCAGTAACACTTACATCATCCTCTATGACATTAAGAGGGAGACCCCTCAGCATAATAGTCTTGCTCTCCTCCTCCTGCTCCATTTTGTAGTGCTGGTCCGGATAATCCCCATCGTATTCATCGTCGGATCTGTCACTATTGCGCCGTTTTCTGCCCCTCTGTTGCACACACACACACACACACACACACACAAATAATGCTGTTATTACTAAATTATGACCAAGAGGTTTTCTTCTACTACAGGTGTGACAGCAACATGAGCTAATAAAGGTATTTCTACTCACTCACCTCTGGACTGTCTCTGCGTCTGTCATCGCCCCAACGATGATCATAATCCCTCTCCACATCTCTACCTCGTCGTCTTTCGTGCCATTCTGGATCATCTCTCCTCCCATCCGAACCATATCTTCCACTGCGTTCAGACCGACTGAGCCTGAAAGAGTAAATGAGTGGCAGCGAAATATACAAATACACTAAATATGTGCCACTACTACATTGTTTTATATCTTACCTTTTATCAGTTCCCATGGTTTAGTGTAGAGGACACACGTTTGATCAAAGAATTCTGTAGAAACATCAGAATATTTGTTTGATAATTTAATCACCATTAAAAACAGACAGGTGTCTCTTCAACAATATACTGATAGATATCAACAGAGGAGTTACTTTAAGACTGGAACTTAATCTGAACCTGATTCGTTGTCATTTCGTAGAAGCAGAAACAAACAATGATTAAACCTACATCCACAGCATCGCTCGAAAACACTGAAATTCCCCCCATCAGCGTTAAATGTATGTTGTTAAGTTAACATAATAAAGGGCTGAGGTCACAGATGAAACCAAGCCTGGGAAACAACGGGACAGATTTGAAACGACCAATAATGGCGTTAAATACTAACGTTAACTAAACAACAGGAACTTGAGCTACAAGATAAATGGTGTGCTGCCCATTAAAGAGCACCAACAGGCTAACGAGAGCCCCTCTCTTTCTCTCTCTCTCTCTCTCTCTCTCTCTCTCTCTCTCTCTCTCTATGTCAGTCGCTATGTGCGACTGACGTTAGCTTTAACGTTTGATTGTGTCAGTTAACGTAACCTTCAATAGCTTACGTTAACCGACAGAGGAGAGACAACTCTGTGTTGTTTCGTGTTACATACCGTTTTAGTAACACAGCTTGTTAGGTCTGACAGTGACCTGATAATAATTGATGATGATTTTTTCCCCCCTAGGTCTTCCGGTCAGTCAGCAGAGGAGTTTTCTTCTTCTGTTAATAGGACCGCTGGTAAATAGATTAACTGCACATTACCGCCACCTACTGGTTGAGATGGGAATGAGAGGGTACACGGTATTATAGGTTGCATTAACAAAAAACTAAAACTGTGAAAGGTTAACTGAAATAAATTATACAAACTAGACGTAAGAGTAAGTAAAAACTAACTGAAACGATATAATTTACTTACAAAACTGAACTAAAATACAATTAAAATATCCAGGAAATCAGAAAATGTGTTTAATTTTAATCTTTGTTAATTTGGTAAAATGTGTTAACACAACAAGCATGAGGAGCCATTGATGCACATGTTTATTGAGACTAGGATATCTACATGATTGTGAGTCAATTGCCTTCACAAAGTGTTTGCATTGTACCTATATTCTGAACTTCTTAAATCTTGCCCCTGGCAAATACCACCGTATTACAATTACAGAAACAACTAAAACTAATACTGAAACAGATAAAAACAGTTTTAAACAATAAAACTAAACTGAAATGAGCACACCCAATCTGGGAACTAAAACTAAACTGAATTGAATTCCAAAATTAAAAACAAAATAAAAACAAAAACTGATGAAAAAATACTCTGGTACAGTGCAGTCTGGCTTTTAAATTACTCCACACAGTGAACGAATAAGCAAATAAGTTCTCTAGCAGGAACAATAATAACATACTTATTGGGTTATGCTATCCTGGTGCAATAACTCTGCTTCTCTATACCAGGGGTAAGTTAGTATGACTCTGTATTACCATTACCAAAACATCTATTGGTCTTAAAAACATTTTACAGTTTAATTACAATTGTGTAAGTAATAATATCTATTACTGTCAAATGTAAATCTATACGCTGACTGTTACTTAAGTAATTTACAGTAACAGTTGTGGCCAATATGTTTGTTTTTTGCTTCTTTTAGAATGAAAATTTGAGATGTTTAAATCCATATTACTTGTATTAAACCTTATCACGTAAGTAGTAGGCTCCACTTATCCTTCCTTTTTCCCAATATCTTCCCAACCATCATTCATTTCTAAACAGATGACAAATAGTTTCTATTTTTCACTGATCCTTCTGATTGTTTCAGTATGCTATAACCCTTTTTGCCTCTGCATTGTAAATATCTACCATCCCTGCTCTGCACCTCTATCTGCCTCTTCATCACATGTAATTCCTATATTTGTATCAGTGAACTTATAATAAACATTGTTTGAACTCACATTATTTCAAATTTACAAACAACTTAAGAAACTGTTTAAACATGCTTTTCTTCTTCTCTTTGGTTGCATATAAAGACATTAGGTGTTGTATGTTGTTGTACCTAATATTCCCTGTGTGCTCTTCGCCCTGGGCCCTGCCATGGACCACACAACCTGGGACATCAGCCGGACGCTGGCTGACCCGGGCAGACGCTCCCCCTCCATCACCGCTGGGTGGCGCTGCAGTCCCAGCGAGATGCGGACGAGCTGCAGAAGCAGAAACCTGCTCTCATCCCTGGAGCCAACACCACAGCGCGATGGTCGCAGCAGTGGATGCAAACTGTTAAAATATACTGTCTAACTCATTTAACTACCTCACATAGCGCATGATTTGCGTCTATCGCAGCTGGGAGAAAATAAAACTCTCGCTACGGGTGGCCGCTGTGCTCAGACGACTCGCCGGAGCTCCCACCAACAGTGACCCGGGCATCAGGAAGAAGGTAGCCAGCTGGCTAACGTTAACGTTAGCGAACCGCTAGCGTTAGCTGTGTTAGTCGGTGCTAGTTTCATACATCATTACTACTGGTTTGTTTAAAGCACATAAGGTTTTCTTGTCGACTGTGTAAAGTGAGGCTAATATTAGGTTGTTTAACGCTACTTCGTTAGCTTAATACCCATGATTAGCGTTACCTTAATGGCGTTGGCTAGCTAGCTTAATGGACTGACAGCCCATCCATCTAGTGTCGAGGCTCATTCATAGCTTGACATAACGTTACGGCTCCTTGGTCATTTACTAGACTGTTCCAATAAGCACTTCTCACATTAGTTAGACGAGCAACAAGCTGTGTTAAACTTCCCTGCTAGCTACTAAAAGTGTGTCTTTGACTCCTCAGTTAAGCTACCAGGCTGTATGGCTGAACCAGAGCTTCTGCTGGACTCCAATATCCGACTTTGGGTGGTGTTGCCCATTGTCTTCATCACCTTTCTTGTCGGGGTGATTCGACATTATGTATCCATTCTTCTTCAAAGTGACAAGAAGTTGACATTAGAACAGGTTTCTGACAGGTACGGTAATCTTCAATTGTCAGATGGATCATAGTTTTAAAAAAATAAAGATAAAAAATCCCCCACTTGCAACTCATTTGAATTATTTTGTGTTCATTGTCCATCTCCAAATCCAGCCAGGTTCTTATTCGGAGCAGAATTCTCAGAGAAAATGGGAAATACATTCCCAAACAGGTAGGGATTGTGTATTTATATTATTATTATATTATGCTTTATATTATACAAAACACATGGTCTTTGCATTTACTTGTCACAAACTAGGGTTGAGGACAATATTACTGAAAATCTCTCTTTGTTTTAGTCTTTTTTGATGAGGAAGTTCTACTTCAATAATCAAGAAGATGGATTTTTCAAGAAGACCAAAAGAAAGGTTGTTCCACCCTCTCCAATGACAGGTACTGCTTTTAAGTGTTTGCCAATGAACAGGATATAATGATACAATCTTCAGTGTTATAATCCTCAGTGACCTTTCCTAAAGAAGCTTATTTAAATAAAACATGTCTGTGTCATTAAAACAATTATATATAAAAGGGATATTCCAAGTCAAGTCTTTCCTTCCTGTGGCTTTCACAAAAAATGATATCGAAAGAAATTTATGTTTTTATTTATCACGGTTGTAGGCCTAAAGTATTTCATACTTTTGTAAATGTAAAAATATCCAGCCATTACACACAGAAATAAATGTTCTATCATTTTGTCAACGAAAAACTGTGTCATACATTATGTCCTGACCTGGAGCCTTTTCCAATGTATTTCAGCAAACCTTGATAACGGTGGCTAGACTCTGCCTAGTGGAAAATAGAGAACTTAATTGTGTGTGGGCATATGTTTGCTTTTTTGCTTTTGATAGTAGAGGTGGCTGACCCCTGTCCTATGTCATCTTATCAGAACTGCCATTCTTTCTTCTCTTTCCTTAATCATTAATGTTATGTCCAGCAGCTAAAGGGAGATGAAAGTGTTTTGTGCTTCTTTACCAAAAGTCAGAAATACTTTAAAGTATAAAAGTAAATGTCCAAAAGTGATGTTAATGTGACTAATTTACATTGTTATAGAGCAGCAAACTAACAGTGTACAGTTATTATTAAAAAGCAAGCAACAGTACATAGCAAGACTTTTATTAAGTGTTTTTTTGTTGCACACTGTATCTTTTCACAGATCCTAGCATGCTGACAGACATGATGAAAGGAAATGTCACCAATGTGCTTCCCATGATCCTCATTGGAGGCTGGATCAATTGGACCTTTTCAGGATTTGTAACAAGTAATGTAAAAATTCTGTTAAATATTTTTAAAGGTCCAGTGTGTAGGATTTAGTGGTATCTAGTGCAGAAGTTGCAGATTGTAACCAACCGAATACCACTTGCTTTAAGTGTGTTGAATAAACTACTGTGGCTACAAAAAATGTGACAGGCCTCATCTAGAGCCAGTGTTTGATTTCAGAACAGTTCTGGGCTACTGTAGTAACAGCGGTTCAACATGGCAGACCTTGTAGAAGAGGACCTGCTCTCTGTAGTTGAAAATGGTTCATTCTAAGGTAACGAAAACCCACCAATTTGTATTCATTTTCAGCTGATTATACACTAATAAATGCATACCTATGAATATTATATTCCATTTCTGCCAATTGATCATCCTAAATGTTACACACTTGACCTTTCATTTATCTCCCTACCGAATAATAAATATTGTTTAAATATATTGTTGGAAATTCTACACTGAGTTCTTTTTGTACTCTGTTTCACACAGCTAAGGTTCCCTTCCCTCTCACCCTGCGCTTCAAGCCCATGCTGCAGCAAGGAATAGAGCTGCTCTCACTGGATGCCTCCTGGTAAACTAATAGAACCAAAAATCTGTAGAGATCTCAATGCTTCAGCTAATGTGTGAACTTCTTGTCATTTATTGCGTTTGTTTGTGTGTCTGTTTATCATCTAGGGTGAGCTCAGCATCGTGGTATTTCCTGAATGTGTTTGGACTACGAAGCATGTACTCATTAATTCTGGGTCAAGATAATGGTAATTCTAATTCTAACTCATTTTTAGATCATTTTTAGTGTTTTGTTGTTGTTTGATGATAACATGAAACTGTTTATCAGAAGGTTCAACAGTAATAGAAACCCACCCAGTCTTTTGATTTACTCTTAATAATGTTCATTTGAACTTTAGCTGTTTATGATAATAAATAAATCGTTAATAACAATATTTAATTTTAGAACATACATGATTGTTTTGCTCTTGCGTTGCAATTCCCACAGGCGCAGATCAGTCGAGGATCATGCAGGAGCAGATGAGCGGTGCCGCCATGGCCATGCCTGCAGATACAAATAAAGCTTTCAAGGTATATCCTGTAGTTTCAGCCTCTTTAATTAATGAGGGTGGGCTTTGCTTGGTTGTTCATGTTCATGTCTGTCCTTACATTTCAGGCTGAGTGGGAGGCACTGGAGCTGACTGACCATCAGTGGGCGCTGGAGAGTGTAGAGGATGATCTGATGAGCAGAGAGCTGGACTTTGATGGCATGTTTAGCAAGGAACTGCCCAGTGGTATCTTCTGATGGCCTGGTCACTGCTACTTGGAGCCTTCAATTTAAATTTTGATCATTGCAGGGATTTGTTTTTGGTTAAAACAACAGAGATGGGACAGATCCCTTCATGTTATGCAAAGTTTACATTCACTTATTTGTGGTCCTTGTCTTTTATGTATCACCTTCCCATTCCTGTCCATAAAATATCTGAAATGACTTAAAATACACTGGTTCTGCTGCTGTATCATGCATATTAGAAAGCATTTCTCTGTTATCTCACCTTTTAGACAAGATGTTTGGGAGAAATTAGGTGGCTTTTTGCGTATTGAAATGCATTATTATTAGCTTGTAACTGTATGCCATCATAATGCCATTAGGTAATAGAATGTGAACTACCTAGTGCTTATTTTTTTCTTGTCATGCACAGCTAGACTAGCTGTTTAAATCTTTCATATATATCATCATGTTTTAAAAAAATAGGACACCATACCATTTTACAGGTCTTAATTCTGTTTATTTAATTATACTTTAACAATCTTTAATGACTCCTTTGTTAGATCATAGATAGATCAGCTGCTCTGTGTCAGCTACCTAAAGTTGGAAGCAGACCCAGAAGTGAATAGTTGTTGGCAGAGAATATGTTAGTGTGATGGAAATATTGTGTTTTTGAAGTATGTAGACAGTTTATTTTGTAATGTAACTCCCCTGTGTTTTTGTACAGCATAAAGCCTGTTTTGACTAAACACCCAGTTTTATTTGTTGCAATGCACCCCAACACAATTTGCCATTCATTAATAAGTCATTTAAGTAATTTGATTAATATTTCAGTCAGCCGTCACATTTTGCAAAACTGACCTGAACTGAGTTCATATCACTACATGGATGTTTTTCGTGAACTCGACCTTTGGCACACCCCTCGTTTAGGACACTTTTAGGACATTTAGCATTTGTCTGTGCAGTGACTGACTGGTGTGGCGGTGGTGTTGGCGGAGCAGTCACACTGGAGTTCAGCAGCAGCTCTTCTCCTCTGTGATCGTAGAGGAAGAACATTTCCCAAAGCGCGTCTCTTCCAACCGCGCGTTCACGATACCGGCACACTCGCTGCATGATGGCCGAGGGAGGCGGACCCGAGTCGGGTGGCGCGGCTGACTCCGACTCGGAGCCGGTAGCCGCTCAAATGCCAACCCCTTCAACCGAAAATCAAAAACAGACTATTGGGTCCCTTTTGAAAACAACTCTAAGAAAGGGCGACGAATGGTAAGAATCGGTAAAGGCCAACGTTAGCTAGCGCTAGCTAGCTAACCTTAGCTAGTGAGAAACAGGAAATGCTAACAGGCTAAAGCTAGCAAGCTAACGACACCAATGGTTGCCAGTCTGAAATCGAAAGCTGCAGTGCTACCGATGTTTTGGCCAGCTAGTGTTTAACAAGTTAGCACGCTAGCTACTAGCCAGTCCAACTTAAGTATTTCTCTGAGAGAGGTTTCTGTAGTAACACCTCTTAATGTTTGTCATTAACAGCCAGACGACCGTGGCTAGCTAAAATGCTTATTTGTGTGGTACGTAAACGTTAAAGGCTGTTTTGTGACAAGTTAGGTGACGTTTGCTGATGTGGTGGCTAGTCTGCTGGTAGAATAGGCCCTGGACTCAGATGGTGGGTTCTTCTGCCATCAGACCGGCTGGTTGTTAGTACAGCAGTGATCAGCAAATGGGCCCACTGACAGGAAGATTATGAGATTTCGTCACCTGCTTGTTGTGACATGCCACTTGAAGTTGTTTAACAGGTTTCCTACTAGCCGGCTACATGTGTTAGCTAACATTGTTTCAGATCATAAAGACCACTCAGGCCTGGGCACAGTGCTACTGGATGTATTCAAGAGGCTTCACTTCAGCAGTATAACATTGCAACAGAGAACTGTGTCACCTGCTTCTGTGTTGATCTAGACGGACACCGAGGGAAGAACATGTCTGTCAGCTATTAGCTGCTCAGCTAACATACAGCATACTCAAATAGCTGTTGGAATTAGTCAGGTATTGCCTAAAGTGTTAGATAGTGTCTAATGATGATTTAGTTACAAAATGAACTGCTATCCCTCGGTATTCAAGCTAAAATGTATGATTTTCCACAAGCACATTAACAGTGCTTCACAGCATCGGGATATTACCCTCAGATTAAAGGGCGAAGATTATATACCTTACATCAGCTGAAACACTTCCTACTTGAGGCTATTGGAAAAAAGTTCCTTGACCCAACGTCTTACTATTTGAATGCTTGCTAACAAGCCTATTAACTAAAGGAGACTCTTGCTTAGGATGAGATTAAGTCAAACTAGCTTGCTGTTGCTATATCTGCAAATGCCAAGGCAGTTTGCTGTTGCATAATGTTCTGGGTTGGCGTAAGGTTGAATGCACTGTCTCTCCAAATGCTAAGCACTGTATCATATCCTGACCCTGTTCTGACCTTTCTTGACATCTTCAGGTGATCAAAAAGTCTCAAAAGTTCAGGAGAAACAATCAAGTGTCTCTCATAGTGTGATTGTGTTTGACATTAACCATTACCAAAAAAATGTGTTTTAGGTATCTTATAGACAGCAGGTGGTTCAAACAATGGAAGAAGTATGTGGGATTTGACAGCTGGGATATGTACAATGTTGGAGAACGTAGCCTCTATCCAGGACCAATTGATAACTCCGGCCTGTTCTCAGGTAAAACTCATCTTTAAAGTAACTTCTATTGGGCTTTTATTGTGATTGCTTTTAGAACAGCATGAATACCACTTAGAGATTAAAAGAGCATTTTTAAGTCTGTAGTCATCATTTTGTGTTTTTCTTTTTTTCCATCCTTAAAGACCAGGAGACTCAGGCCCTGAAAGAGCACCTTATAGATGAGCTGGACTATGTCCTTGTACCCACTGAGGCATGGAATAAGCTTGTCAGCTGGTACGGCTGCCTTGATGGCCAGAGACCTATCGTCCGGAAGGTAATGCTGTTGAAGGTATTTCTTTTTTTACTTTGACCATTCACTGGTGGATCTGAAATGTATTCTTTCTTTTTCAGGTTGTTGAACATGGCATGTTTGTCAAGCACTGTAAGGTGGAGGTCTATTTGCTGGAGCTGAACTTGTGTGAGAATGACAACATGGACAATGTGGTCACACGTCACTTCAGTAAAGCTGATACTATAGGTGAGGGTTCTTTGCATTAAGTTTTGCATTGAAAATAACTAGATACACATGCACTGGAAATATGTATACGTTGTCAGTCAAATGTGTTTTGTGTAAATAAATAAGCAGGAAAGTTAATAAGCAAGTCTTGCAAATCCTCTCTTTCCAGATACTATAGAGAAGGAGATGAGGACGCTATTCAATATCCCATCAGAGAAGGAGACGCGGCTCTGGAACAAATACATGAGCAACACCTACGAGCAGCTGAACAAGCCAGACAGCACTGTACAGGATGCTGGTCTCTTCCAGGGACAGGTAGCGTAGAGCTGTGTTATTCAAATAACCTTCAGATCATTGATAGACTCTCTTCCTCATTTCTTTTGAGGAACACCACAGCCCACTAACGTTCTGGTACTTACTGTGTATACATAATTCATTTACAGGCATCATATAAAATAACAATAACATCTCAGTCGAATGCAACACAATGCATTAGCCTTGAATAATATGTTGTTGAGGTTATAATGTCTAATTGTTGTTGAGACTGTGTAACAGAGGTCAGTGCTGTAGTTTGTGATGGTGTTGTATTGTAAGGTAATTGCTATACATCATAATGTGAGGAATTCCTAACATTTACAAAAAAGGGGACTGGACTTTATATAGGTAAGAGATTGACATTGTATCTCATAACACAGTCCAATACAACAACAACAACATAAACCAGGGCCTCAAATATTACTGTAGAATTGAGCTAATACCTCTTTTACCTTCCCATTCAAAAATGATCTTTCAGAGTTTTACAATTCAATGCCAGTGCTCATACTTGAAATGTGAAATGCATGAATGAATGAATTCGTGAAATGCATGCATGAATGAATGAATTCATTACAGCAGCTGTTGTCCTAAAACTGTAAACTGAAGGTCAAAAACGGACTAATTACACATCAGAGTAAGTGGAGTTGATAGACGTAACTACAGCTGCTAAAGCTTGGCAGCACTTGGCACCTGTATAGTATTAAATTCAAGCTGGAGACATGATAGCTCTGACACAAAGGTCAGTTGTGCCAGCTCGGCTCTCACTCTGCTTGTTTTCCCACAGGTGCTTGTGATTGAGCGGAAGAATGAGGATGGCACGTGGCCCAGACAAGCCTCCCATCCCAAGTAAGCAAATGCCTTTTTGTTTTTTAGTCATTCAGGAGATAAGTTGTAACCTGGTATAAAGATTTGAAGCATTTAATGTATACATTAAAAATATATCCAAGTTGGGGTGACCCAAATGCTTCCAAGCTTTTTTAAAGCCTTGTGTGTTTCCCACATAGACCGTACTTGGGCGGGCTGCCCAGGTCAGTGACACATTTTAGCATTTTGCAGACTAACAGGGGACAGAGACTTAATCTGGTATTATGTTAAAAGAGCCAGACAAGTTGGATATTTTACAAGCACACACCAGGTAAAGCATTCGGTACCACAGTGGTTGTGATCCTTTCAATGGGCTACACCATTAACAACAAACTTCCTCCACATGCAGTTAACCTGTTTGGGTGACTATAAAACATACTGCTGATGACTAATGTCAACTGATAGGGAGAGAAACAGAAGGGGGGAGTTGGGGCAAGCTGGTTTATGTGCAGAGCAGTGCAGAGACAGAGGTCCTGGTATGTGTGTATGGGGGAAAGAGGAGCAGCAGAGTAAGCAAATTAAAGTAGTTTTTGAGTAAACACTAGCGAAATGCTTGCTTTCCATCCCTGCCTCACCAACCCGGCACAGATTCAACTATCTGTTGAGTCGGGACAGCCCTGTAGTCAAGTTTGCTCAACATTGGAAAGTTTGAGGAAACAACATGCTTCTCTAAAACATGGCTTTGCTCTTCCTCACCAGATCCAGTACAACACCATCCAGGAATTTCACTACCTCCCCAAAACTTTCCTCCAACTCAACAGCCAGTATCTCGTCAACAGTAACCAATGGAGACAGCACCTGTAGCCCTGGCTACACGCTGAACAACAGCACCTCCTCTGGCAACAGGCAAGAGCTCTTACCTGATTTATCGCTCCGTCACTGTTTCCCCCATGTACAGTACAGTACAGTACAGTACTTTACCTTTTCCTAGGAATTTACTGTATGCTTTATGTTGCACAGGAATGGTACTGTTTCAGTTATGATCACATGGGTTTGAAGTACCTCAGCTAATTCCTCAGCTCCTGTTGTTTCCAGTTGTTACATCTCCAGACTCAGACTCATTGTATGTCATGATTAGAGTTGAAAATGTGACAGAAAGAAACTTGAATCAATATATCAGTCTAACAGTTTCATCCCTACAGACCTCCACCAGTGCATTAGGTCTTTGCTGGAAAACAAAGAATTTAGTTTTTGTTACACACAGCAGAAGAATATGTAGTTTTCCTCTGCCCATAATATCATGAGTTTTTATTTATACCACTTCTGCTTTCCATTGTTTTGATAATTGTTTTTCTTGCATGGTTTGTTTTCTTTAAAATGCACACTGTGTGTCGTCCAGGAAATCAATGCATTTCAACACACATTTGAAAGCCAGCTGGTATCACATACATACATAAAGGGTGTT